GGGGGGGAGGGAGGGAGGAGCAAAAATCAATACAATCCAGGATCCCACGATGTGCCCCTGACCAAGTATAGCGGTATGGCATGGTGGATGTTGGGCGAAACACAGTGGCCTTGGATGCTCGCGAGGCCTTAGAGGTTAAGTTGTTCGCCTCTCATTCAAAGGTCCCAGGGTCGAATCCGGGCAGCGATGGAAATTTTTCTTCTCTAAAATGTGCTACCAACTAAATATGGTTAATATGTCCCGCGCTCTCATATGACTGTATGCAGTTGCAAGCGCCGTAAAAACACTTACAAAAAACCCACAACAACAACAAAAAACAATGGCCACCGGGATGTGTTTACTAGGATCGATTCCGGAACCGATTCCAACGATATTAATGCTAAGGAAAAAAAGTTACGACTCCTTTCTACGTAAACCAACGGTTACCAGTTACTTTAATCATTAAAATCTTCTTTTTTTTAGAATTTTATTTTGAAAAATAAAAGTTGAAGCCTCTTAGTGTTCTAATATCAAGGTTATCCTAAATCCTGAAAATGTTCCGAGCCAACCATCTAACCACGGGAAGAAATCACATCATTAGAAAGTAAGTAATTGGGTTGGGAGTCCATTCCTACGATTCTTAGCTTTCAATAATCGGGAACCTAGCCGCCCAGCAGTAGTGTTACTTCCCTGCGTGGTTGTAGTGTTGCTTGTTCTCATGAGTTACCCTGTTACGATTGGACGCGATTCGTGGTATCACGTGGGGACTTCCGTGGTCTAGAGGCATGGTGTTTGCCTCTTATTCAATTGGTCCAGGGTTTGAAACATGACAGCGACGAGAAATTTTCTTCTCTGAAATGTTCTTCTTTCATTTCCTTTCCTGTCCTCTTACCATGCTCTGTCGTCTGCTTTCGTCTCCCTTTTCTGATCGTATCTTATCTTATCCTATAGTGGTGCACAGGTGTTTCCTAGTTGGAAGTAGGTGGTTATTTTGAACAGCTAAGATTATAACAGAGGATGGGCGACTGAACAGAGAAATTGAAACACGATGTCAGTTACCAGCTTGCTCAACTACTGAAACATTCTAACATCCCCATGACAACAAAACTCAAAATGATCAACACCATAATATTTATCCCAAGACTCACGTATCAATGCCAAACATGGACCACGAACAAGACATAGGAGCAAAGAATTACAACATGTGAAATGCGATGTCTTAGAAAAACAAAAAACAAGACCAGGCGAGACAAAAATAGAAACTCAGTAGACAGAGAAATGGCAGACGACGGCCTACAATTAATGCCATGACAGACATTAGGCTCCCTTATGAAAATGAAGTTTATCCACCAAAAACGCTTCAAGAAAATCCGTTTTTTTCTCTTTCTTTAAAATTTGAAAAACATGACTTACCATAGTTTACTTGGCGACCCTTGTGATGTCAAGCATCACATCCAACATCAAAGAATCAAATGGTTCGGACATCTCATGCGATTACCAACACTCCATCCAGGACAACGTGCCTACATTTTTAAAAAATCCAATGGCAACAAGGCTAGAGGGCGACCGAGAAAGACCTGGATAGATGGAGTCTGGGAAACACTAACAACTCATGGCATCCCCATGGCCCAAGCTCTCTGGCTGGTGGCAGAGAGACGTCTCTTTCTTCCTGCGACACCAAAAAGAGTATAAGCGGCGGATAAAAATAAAGTAAAGTAAAGGTTATAACATAGAAAACAACAACACAAGGGGGAGAGCGCTTATACAGGTCACCACTGCGCAGCACCTTTTTTTGAGTAGTTTGAGTTTGAGCTTGGATTACCATGTGCTGCTTAACCCTATCCGTACGTCGTGTTTTACTATTGTATCCATACGACGTAGGGAACTCTGAGCCACCACTTTCCAAAGAGGAAATTTACTCGGCAATCCGATCGGTACAATTTGCATAGCAGTCTGTCAAATGATTTTTTGAGAAATACTGAAAGTTTCAAAGAGATCGTCGCACTTGAAGTATTCTAAAATGTGAAAAATACAACCCCGGGGGGTACAAAATGACCCGAGGGCGTAGGAATAGACGCACGCCAGTGACCAGCCACCTCAGAGATATGGTGTGCGCCCCTCATTCATAGGTCATGGGTTCGAAACCTGACAGCGAAGGAACATTTTCTTTAGAATGTTCTCCTTTCACCCACTTTCTTCTTTTCTTATCACGTACTATACTGCCATATGCTTTCATTGCCACTTTCTGCCCCCCCCTCCCCACCCCTGCTCCTCGGGGTTCCTGACTCGTTTTACTGCTACTAACTTGCTCCCTCTCACTGCTGTCTTTCAGAAACACCCCTGATCTTAGGGAAGGTAAGGTCTTATATTCTAACACCTGGCCTCCTAAGATCAGAACGAAAAAATTGCAGATTGCGCTCATAAAAGATCCATTGGTGGTTCCAAGATCAATAAGAGTACGCACCGGCCGCTATCAGGGCAAAATTTAAAACATTAGTCCCTCAAACTGAAAATGCTTAACAAGAGTTTTCATATGGCCTTATGCAGTTGCGAGCTCCGTAAAACACTTACCAAAACAAGGCAAAAAAGGATCATCCTCCTAAGCACCACATCACAGACACACTATGCTTGACATTATTTGTGTGAGCCATATTATACACGACGCCCATTGGACGATCGGATCGGGTTGGGTCGGGTCGGTTTGCTAACCAGATTGAAGGTGCAAAGCAGCAATCGTGCACAAGCCGACCGCGCCCGACTCGACGCCTCAAAATCAAATGTGTTTGTTTTCCTGCGACGAGTCGGACGATCAACCAGACCCGACCAGACCCGACCCGAATCCGTCAGCATTATGCACCCGGTAACGGCTCACTGACCATTCGGACACGGGCACCCCTGCCATTCTTCATTAGGCGGGTGATGGGTGGATTTTGGGGGTAGTGGGCGGGGAGGGAGGGGGGTAAGTAGGAGGCATGCAGCAACCACACTGATTCATCGCCGACTAATTCGACCACCCACTCACAGGATCAATGAACGTTCACAAACAGTGTGTTATGACCGGGTAAGGCAGAGAGAGAGGGGGGGAGGGAGGGAAAGAGAGAGAGAGAGAGAGAGAGAGAGAGAGAGAGAGAGAGAGAGAGAGAGAGAGAGAAAGAGAAGAAACAGACAGACAGACAGACAGACAGACAGACAGACAGACAGACAGACAGACAGACAGACAGACAGACAGACGGACGGACGGACGGACAGACAGAATTGGAAGTCCTAACCAAGTCTTATTACCGTCTTGGGTCCAACCTCATTCAGTTTCTATTTATAATATTATTTTTACACATTATGATATCGATATGGACTGCTAAACTCCTTTCAGCAGACAGATGACTCCGTGCTACGGTAAACGTTCTCAGGCTCCTAAGCCTTTAGCTACGTAAAAAGAACCAATTGGAAAACAAAAACAGGCAATAATATCCCAGGCGTTGGTTCGTGCAACCCACTTTACTCCGTCAGAAAAATACGGCACGCGCGTGGCGCGGGACGTATTCCTGGCTTTGCGTGGGAGTGTGCTTGAATAACCTGACTGTTTGTCTGCCTGTTTCTGGCAGGAAGAGGAACATGATGACGTCATCTGTTTTTGTCTGCAAGGTCGCCGTCTAATTGCTTCCTCGAGGAGTATTTTAAGACCACGACTTAATACTTCCGCTGTTGTAACCTTGTTGTGTAGGTTGAACGGGTATCCATCCTACTTGGAGAAATTGAATGTACTGAGTGCAGCTCCTAGATTGTTACTGGCGATTTAGATTTTCTATTAATTTATTAATTTATTTATTTGATGTGTGGTTATTTTTTTATTTTATTTGGGGTGT